TGGGTTCTGAAATTATACCACTTATAGAGTAATTTTGGTGGAGTCTCTGACTGATCGTTATCGTCTTTTTATTTCCTCTGCTGTGATCTTCTGCAGCCCACACCCAGTGAAGCCCATGGCCACTGAAGAGAAGAGGAGCGAGGGTCGCTCTGTCTTAGAGAAGCTCAAGTCCACGATAAGCCCAGGGAGGAGCAGCCAGGTCCTGGAGCAGGAGACAAACAGGAAGAAGGTAACATATACAAGTGTGGAAACTACCATCCCACTGCATGACCAGTACAAAGTCATTTAAAGGAAGTACCTCTGCTGGTATGATGGTGTTGGCTAAAGAAATACACACAGCATTGATTATTCATTGATGAAAACCTGATCTCAGATTGGTCAAAATTTCAGAATCAAACATCGAAAAAGATGCCTAGTCTGACCTAATACCTAATGCCAAAATGCTCAACTGCACTGCACAACATGCTGTAACCAGGGACACCATCACCTACGCAACTGCAGCCCACGGCTACTGGGGGAGAAAGAAAGTAATGGAGTGATATCAGTTGCAGTATCAGCGTCAGAAAAAGTTGTATCAAACCGTTCTAGTTACAAAGTTACTAATCAATTCCATTTTTCATCAGATTAATCACAGCCATAATTGTGAGTTACCATGATTTATCAAGGTAAATTACCTTTAATATTGGACAAGCATTTGCTGTGTTTTGATCTCCATTTACAGGAACGAACATACGTCTGATTGGCTCTTTTCCTTAGCTGTTCTCCTGTTCAGGAGAGGAGTTCATCAGTGATTGGTTTAGATTGATTTGTTTTTATCCATTGACAAATGCAGAAATACATTTTGTCATCCTCATTTAATCCAACAACACTTCCTGTATGGTGTCCGTGGTATTTTTGAAAATAATCAACCATTATTGGTTAATTCACTTTAGTTATCAGCGTGTGTGAAACTATAGTTTACTGTGCTGCACATTGTAGATCAAGACAATAAAGAAAACAGGAAGTTAGGATTCTTCTTACTGCTCTTATATTTTTGTTGCAGTGTCTGACGGAGGGCGCGGGGTCGTACTACCACCTGACCCACAGCCAACTTGTGGCTCTGCTGCTGCAGCGGGAGGCCGAGTTGCAGCAGCAGAAAACAGAGTTTGGGCGTCAGAAGGTGTTATTGGCCAAACGGGAGGCGGAGCTGAGGAGGCTGAAGCCACAAGTTCGAGATCTAGAAGACTACATTGACACACTGCTGGTCCGCATCATGGAGCAGAAACCCACCCTGCTGCAGGTCCGATCCAGGATCAAGTGACGAGCAGGGTTGGGGTGAACAGGTTTACTTCTCATCTGTTTGCTCTTGCCTCCATTGCAACTCTTTAGTCTCTTCACTGCTTCTCCCCTTTTTGATACACGTGGTTGGGTCTCACCTTGAAGAGGGTTCTAGTTTGAGCTTGTTCTGAATGTAGCTGGTTCTCAGGTTGTTTTCAGCTTCAGACGAGTGAGTCCACAGTCCTGAAGATCAGACTCCTCAGCGTCCAAAGCCTGATCGTAGAAAATCTTCCTTTTACTTTTAAACCAAGAGGAACAAAAAGACTTCCAAAAACCTGCAGCTTATTTTGGTCTGGATTTAGAGAAACAGCCAGAGCACATTAAGAGGCACATATATGTTTGATCAAACAAAACCATTTGATCAAAAATGATTGTTTTTCTTCTACAGAACCTCCACCATCTTGGTTGTAGAACCTGGATAGAAATCCTTGGTTGACCAGTTTCTCTGATTCAGATGTTGTGGTTTAAAAATAAAAGGTCTTGCCCATGAAAAACCCACCAACAAACACTCAGCTGTGACACGTGTGCATCCATGCCCTCACACGTGCACAACAACAAGGGTAGAGTCCGACTGTTGTTATATAAGTTATTTTTTAGACAGCAAGCAAAGATTTAAATTTTATTTTACATTTTTATCTTTAAAGAAACACTTTTTTCCCCTCTTGTATTAGCGGTGGTCAAATTGCCCATGATGCTCTTGGCCAAATTACCCAGACTACTCTCTGCCACATCAGCTTAATTATCATGGTTTCAGGTTTGTTTTGAGACTTTTTGCACATATGATTGTGATATGTTCAAATGTTCAGATGCCAAACGCTGCCTTATTTTTTTCTTAGTTTTCCAAACACGACACTTGTTCAAAGAGTTTTTTTTTTGTTTTTTGTTTTTTTTTTGGGTCACATGAATGCACAAATCTAAATGACGTGTCTTAACACCAGTAGCCAACAGGGATGCCCTGTGAAATGCCAAAACATAGGCCTGCAAAAGTCAGCTGTGGTCCTGATGGAATCTGATCCCTCATTTGCAGATGCACTTGCACTTCTTCTTGGTCAGAAAACGTCTCTGTGTGATGTTGGTATAGTTGGTCACATCTGCTCTTCCTTAGGCGGGTTTTTTCCTCGTTTCGATGATCGGCGAAACAGCTAGATCTCAGTGTTAGTAGAGGGGTTATTTCTTTGGACAGAGTTGGTTTTTGGCTGAAGCACAGACCATTTAGAAGAAACAGACACAGCTAGATGTGGAGTTCAAAGATTGAAAGCCACTGGTTAAAGATAAGCTCTGCACCAAGTCATCATGTTCCTGTATTAGGACCTAAAGTTCCTACAGATGTCCAATTCAACTAGGTTGCTGTGTGACAATCTGAGCTGTCAATCAAACCTCCCACTTCCTGTCTGGTCAGGGGTTTTCTTGTGTTGTTCTTGGCTGCAGCCCTGAAACCACTGACCAGGACAGATGTTTGCCAATGTCTGGTTCTCTCAGGCTGTGTGGCTTTGGTCTTTAACTGAAGTTTGGTTGGTTTGCGATTTCATTCAGCGTTGGCTGACGTTGAGGATTTGCTCCAGACACATTTACCCAAAATGCACTTCTCTGCCTAGAATAAATGAATGTGTTTTAGTTTAAACTTTAGCGCCTATGTGTGATTCCTGTGAACTGTTCTGTGATTCTAGCACTCTGTCCTGAATGACATCACTGAGGATTAGCCAATGAGCTTGAAGCATTAGCCTAAATAATTCTGCCGAGCCTTTGCATAATCAGCATCATTTCAAATTTGACCCAGGATGTCTGGTTCCGAGTCATGTCTTCCATTATTTGAAAATGTTTTGATTTTTCTTTCAGGTTCAATTGGAACAAAAACTATATATAATTCTTTATTTCTTTCTTTTCTTCAGTGTTTCCTTTTGTGAAGCCAGTGGAATGTTTTTGAGGAAGAATGTGAGTTTGGAAAGTTTACAATCCTGATGCAAATTTTCTATATTTAATAAATAATATTTTGTGTTCCTTGCTCAGTTTTTGTGATGAAAATCTTTGTCTCAGTCTTTTGTGTCTGAGTTTGTGTTTTTAACGATAGTTGGTTTTTGTTTGATACTAAATACCAAAAATGACATCTGCACATTTAAATATTTTATTCGACAATTATTATTTCCCTTTGAAATGGGGTTGGGGTGGAGTGTATTATTTTCTTTGTGTATTATTATTATGTAAAGATTTAAAGCTTTTAAAGATTTTTAAAAAGAAAAATTTTACTTCTAATACAAATATAAGAATTAATGAAGAAAAAACAAAAAGATTAAAAAGGCAAAACTAAATACAAATGTTCTTAAAATAAATAATTAGTGAATGGTTAATTATATTATTTAGACTTAAAACATTTAATTTGATCCTAGCTTATTTCATATAACACCACTAGAGGGAGCTGTTTTATCCTCTTTCATTCTGCAGAACCAAAAGGAACTCACTGATTTGCACTGCTTTAAAACTGAAAATTCGTTTCATATATTTACGTTTGTTTTTACTACATTACTGAAAAATTAAGGTGTCAGTAAATGGTCAGTAAACACCCCCAGAGCAGTGTCTTTTGGGAAAAATAGTTTTACAAGCAGGCACGCGCCAGAACACTGGGTTTCCCATGATGCACCGGTAGAACAAGAGCAGCTGTTTCAGCTAATCTTCCGCAGTTGGAGTTTTTGAAAAGTGAGAACCTTCGTTAAAAAACATAAAACGGCATGAATGAAAATGTTCCGAGTTTCCGACTCGGAGAATCTCGCTACAATCAGGTAGTTTCTTTTTACTTTCACGTTTTTTTGTTCCGTTTTAAGCTTTAGTGGCGACAGGTATTTGGACTCAGACAGCAGAACAAACATCAGCAGATTCTGTTTTGTTTGTTTGTTTGGCAGATGTTGGAACGGAAGAGTAAAAACCTTTAGCGGTTTTCAAAAGCAAACATTAAACTACACAACCCTGGCGTGGACATTGAAAAATACTAGTACAAAATATATTTTTACCGTGTTACATAAATTGAACATTGATTTTGATAAGTTGTCTTTGTTACGTGATACCAAACATAAACCTGAGATAATTATTTTAAACTATTAACAAAAATAACTACATGTTTGTTTAAAACTCTTATAATTAGTTAAGTAAAGTCACGTTAAATAAATGTATACATTTTTATCGAGTCTTCATCTGTTGGAGAAATGACAGATGACGCAGCCAGTCACAGAGCAGATCAACCTTTGAACGAAGAGTTAAATGTAAATCCGTCTGAAGTTCCTCCTTCAGATGGATTTACATTTAACTCTTCATTTAGAAGAAACACTGCTGAGTTTTTAAACTCTTCCTTCTGTTCAGTGTTGAATCGGTGGTTATTGAACTCCAGATACTGTGAACAGATTATCATTAATGAGGAAAGTGCAGCTGCCGCATCCAAACATCTGTTTCTCTGCAGGAGCAAAATCACGGGTTTGTTATTCATTCATCAAGAACAGATGCATGAAGAGAAGGGTCTTTGGAACTTTCTTCAGTCCAACAAGAAAAACTTTTTCATGTTCAGATAAACTGGTCCCTCCTCAACCCTCACCCCGTCTCTTCTCCTCCAGGAGACCTTCTCTGGTCGCTTTCGACACTTCCTGGATGTGATTGACCCTCGGACCCTTTTTGTTTCACAGGTACATACACTGATACACACTCTGATATTTCTGACGTGGTAAAGCTGAAATGTAAACATGTTTCTAGGGTTTTTTTTATCAACATCAGTGACAGAATGTTATAATGTTTTTTGTTGGTTTGTTTTTTTTACGTTTCCTAGTTTTGAACCAAAGACTCTGCACATGTTTAGAAACATTTCATTTACAGTAGAACCTCGGTTGTCGAGCGCCTCCTTTTTGAACACGAACAAATTGCCCCGGTTGTCTTACCATGACTCGGTTGCCGAACAAGTCAACAATATCGGTTGGATGTTTGGGCCACATCTGTTATTTTACATGTGGGCAGGGCTGCGTCATCAGGTTAGGCTGAGAAGTGAATATTAGGGTTAGGATGGTAAAGATTCAGTCAGTGACCCCCCCCCCCCCCCCCCCCACACACACACACACATCCCATTCCCAGGCTTCAGAAGAGAGGGGGAGAGTGTGTGTGTGTGTGGGTGTGTGTGTGTGGGTGTGTGTGTGTGTGTGTTCATTTTGCTGCTCTGAGTAATGAAGCTGTTCACAGACTTTGGTGACAGTAATAACAGCAGGATGTGAGGAGGTGTGGACAGCTGTAGAGGGTGGAGTCACACACACTCACTCACACACACACACACACACACACACCTACCTTACACCCTGCTGGCTCCGGCGAAGCCTCAACTTGCCCCTAATGATAAGAGTGGAACACTGAAGAACCAGGATCTTTCCCTCTCTCTCTTTTTCTCTATCATTTACACACACACACACACACAGAGCTCATTAGACTAGATTGGGTCACATGAGGATGTATTATCTGTATATTAGTCGGGATCACAGCTCAGATTGACCTCATTATTTGGCTCGTCGACTGAAAACCAGCGGGGAAGTTTGAGTGAAAACACATTTACTTCAGGTCATGTGTTTGGTTCAAACTGTGAAGGAGACGAAGGTCAAAGGTCAGGGGTTGTATCATTCTAGAAACGTCTTCAGGAGAGCGTGGAGCTGCTCCAGAGCTTCAGACAAGGGACCCTTCCAGCAGGTGTCACTGATGCTCAGGTGAAAAAAAAAACCAACAACTTTAGATGTTCATGGATGAAGTGTTTGTGTTGACTTTGGTCAGGGGTCGATGACTGACCTAAACTTTTGAATCTTCCCAGCTTTGGCAGGCTCAGAAGATAAAGCAGGTGAGAAATGTCGCTCCAACTTTTCCGTTGATCTACTGTTCAATTTCTTTAAGAAACCTCAGAAGTGAACATTGTTCTTCTTCATCCGTTTCTCATTAACATGACTGATCTTCATCTTCTCATTACAGGCCATCATCCACCCTGACACGGGCGAGAAGATCCTCATGCCCTTTCGGATGTCAGGTACGGTGGCTCAGTGTGGACTCCTGGGGCGCGGGAGGTTGACGGCCTTATTATGTGGTCCAACACGGACGTGTCCCTCGGCCCAGGAGGTGTCAGAGATCTTTAGAGCTCCTCGGAGTTCCTCTGGTCCTCTCGGGCCTGGAAAGGTTAAACTCGACGTGAGACTGATTAAAAAGCCTCTCCTGTGGTGTGGAGTGACGATGGTTTCTAAAGGAGAGGAGGTGCCAGTGTTTTTGTTCTGTGTCTTCAGGTCTCACCTTTGTCATTAGATGACTTTGAGGTAATGAGGACATAGGGACGGAGGACAATGTGACGGTGGGAAGGAGGCAAGAAGGGTGAGGAGGAGGAGACGGAGGTGAAACAGAAGGACAGCCACTTGGATGGGGAGGTTTAGGGTGCACTCACCCCAGGGCTGTTGTACCGCGGCCCAGCATGATTGCCCCCTAGAGTCCAGAGTGTGTCCTCCGCAGTGGTGGGCCATAGTGATAGACTCTGGTGTAATGATGCATTATGGGATATGTTGGTGTATTATGGGGTATGCTGGTACATTCTGGTATGTGTGGGTATATTATGGTGTGTATTGGTTCATTCATCCTGACTTGGTTTTGGTCCATTTGGATGAGGGCTGATGGTTTATGGTGTGTACTGGTACGTGCTTTTTGTTTGTTTTTTGTTTTTCTAAACGATTCTTTTTTCCCCCCAATTTGTAATTATTGATTAAATGTTCAGAAACCTTCACTAAAAAAAATATTTCTTTTCTTTCAGGTTTTATTCCATTTGGTACACCAGTGGTACGGACATTTGTCAACTCACTATTTATTATTATTAATGTAGATATTGATGTGTGTTTTTTATACAAAAACCTTTTATTTTCTTATTTTCGTGCAGGTTGTTGGTCTTCTTCTCCCAAACCAGACTCTACCATCAACAATCTTCTGGCAGGTCAGTTTATTCTCTCTGTTATTCATCATCAGCTCACGTCTCTCTTCAGAAACCTCCTGATCTTCTTTTGTTGTCTTTGGTTCTGT